CCACCATAGACTTTGTATGTAAACCTGCTGCTCCTGACGCTGAAATCATGTTTGGTGTGAACGTACCATAAAGCATCGAACTGAATCGAATCGTGAATTTTCTGTATCGTTGCACCCCTACAGTTTAAATCAAACTATCACCACTTCAATCAACAGTTATCAAATCATCCACCTTCAACTTCTCTACAATATTGAAGTATTTTACAGGTGATGTGCTGAACCAACAAGGGGGAGCAGAACTGTGAGGTCAGACTCTGACCCACTTCTACAGACTGAACTTCTCTTCTGCGTAGCTGCAGCTCAGACAGACGGGATGGAGAGCCTCTCTGTACGCTGATTCACAACAGACTCTCGGATTCRGGTACGGACTTCGACTGAGCCATTCTGACCGTGCTTGTTAAGCGATGCGTGAGATAAATACATCACTTACTGGGTATTCTGATCTGGTGGTGGTTGAGGACAGTCAAAGCCTCAACAGCTTCAGTTTTACTGTCAAACTCCAGAAGACCTGACAGAGTCTTTGAGCTGGCTGCATGGAGACAAGGACAGCAGTGAGGAAGAGGAAGAARAGTTTTTACCTCTGCTGAGCAACCTGCAACTTACGTTTGGCATCAAACACTTTGAACTTGGTGAAGGGAGGAACATTGTGTTCAGAGCACAACTGATGGGAAAGAGGACAGAAATCAAATGATGGTTTCATTTTTTATGTAAACACAAGAAAGGGATTTTAAATMCAGTTTTAAGGATTAAGTATTGGTTATGACAGTGCAGAGGATGACAGGTCACCCAGGTGTGGCCTCACCTTGAGCAGCTGCTGCTGGCTGAGGGTGGGGGGCGCATTGTAGAAGTGCAGCACAGCAGCTGGAGGCTGGATGATGTTCCTGTTGCTGTGAGTGCTGCTGAAGCGGTTGTTTCTGGTCAGACTGAAGTCCTGATAGCTGCTGCTGCCGTCAGCCAGCTCAAACACCTGACTGGGAATCACTGCCTGCTGTTTGGAAACACTGGGAGAGACAAAAACACAACAGTTGTACAAGTTGAACAGTTTATTTGTCAGAGAAGAGACAGCTACATGAGATCATGAACTGGTACTGGTCATTTAGGGGTGGCTGGAGGTAGAGGCAGTAATCAGTTTACCATTCAATGTTCTAACGTTAGAATAAAAAAATGTAAACTTCAGGTGAAGATAATCCTTGGATATTATGGGTTTAGGTTATGGAAAATGGAACGAAATAGCCTCTAGAGTCGTGTGCTGTCATGGTCTTCCTGTTTTGTTCTGTAATTCTGTCAAAGTTTGTGAGTTTTTGGAATCAGGACMTAAGAATGCAGACTCTCACAGAGAACTCAGGGATAAAGGAAAATAATTTGAAGTGGCAGCAAAATACTAAATAAAAAACATCAGACGAGAATGCGATGAAGTCAGCAGTTTAAATGTGCTAGGAGTGAAGAGGTAAGTGGCTGCAGCTGAGACTAATGGGAATGAGAAACAAGTGAGATGAGGAGCATGACTGAGAAAAACACTGAGTGGAAACACTGGGGAATTAACTGAAAACAAGAAAAACACACAAACAAACATAACAACAAAATGAACTAGAATAGTTCCTGGATAAACTATGAAAGGGCTTGCCACATGCCGTCCAATTTAAATAAATATTTGAATTGACTGTTTGTTGGAGATCACTGTGATTTATTACCATCCCAAATTTGAGCCAAATATGGCTCAAATGAAATGGCTCTATAATGATCTGTGTCTTGTGCTCTGTCTCCATCTTGTGTTCTGTGTTTTTATCATCCTTTCCTCAGACAGCTCTTASTCTCCAGTCAGTCAGACTCACCTGTCAGCTGTTTGTATGTTTGAAATGCCAGGCTGCAAAACAAATTTCCTCCTTGAGAGCCAATAAAGGAACTGAACAATTCTGGATGCTCTTGCAGACAAAGTGTGGAGATGTGTTCTTTAAGAACCTCTCAGAGAGACATTGTAGAATGGTGTCTTATCAAACACTGCCAGAGATACATAGTGAGAAAATATCCTCTGGACCTTCTTGAAGAAACATGGTGGACAGGCAACCGACCAGATCCTCTCAGTAGCATACAAAATCTATACTCCCAGGTCGAGGTAAAGCCCACCACACCAGGAAGGGCAACACTTTGCTCTGGGGTAGAGAGGAGCAGACAGCCAAACCACCACAGTAGCAGGGCTGCTCATCAGCCTGGACGAGGGCCAGGCAACACTTGAATGACACTTGCCCAAATGCCAACCCCAACTCCATCCAGAAAAGTGGTCAGAAAAACCCATGATTCAAACGAGCCAGCCAATCCGAGCAGCTCAATGTTAAACCAGTTGCAACACCCCCAGTGAGCCCCAGTCTCAACTCCATGGACCTCCCACTCCCCACAAGCCCCTACATGAATTCCCCATAAGGCCACTCTCAGCCAAACATTGGACACATGTCCCCAAACGCAGACACCACAAATCTCCCATCCACAAGTGGGTACCCCCACAGGAGAGCTTTGCCCACAAAAAGCAGATGAGAACACACCCGCACAGCATGAGCTAAGCACATAGCCCCTGCCCACAAACACAACAGCCCAGAGAAGACTGAACCACACAACCACACTGCATGAAACATTGACCCTCTCAGTGAATGAAGAATAAGAATGGGAATTGATCATTTCTGGGGCTGGAGAATGAGATGAAGCGTTGACTGTCTTGGGATACGCAGAGCTTGCAAACACTTTCTGGAGAGACAAAGTTAAGCAGATATCCCAAGAGGTTTCCAGCAAACTGGCCAACCACGGTTACGTTAACACTTATAAACAGAATCGTAACAAAATAAATAAATAAATAAACAAATAAATAAATAAATAAATAAATAAAAAGTAGTCCGTTTTTTGTGCCTATGCGCCTAACAGCAGTTCAAATTACCCACCCTTTTTGGAGTCCTTGGAAGGGGTGCTGGAGAGCGCTCCTAACGGGGACTCCCTCTTTCTGCTGGGGGACTTCAACGCTCACATGGACAATGACAGTGAGACCTGGAGAGGCGTGGTTGGGAGGAACGCCCCCCCTCCCCGATCTGAACAAGAGCGGTGTTTTTTTGTTGGACTTCTGTGCTCGTCACGGATTGTCCATCACGAACACCATGTTCAGGCATAAGGGTGTCCATATGTGCACTTGGCACCAGGACACCCTAGGCCGCAGTTCGATGATCGACTTTGTCATTTCATCTGATCTGCGGCCACATGTTTTGGACACTCAAGTGAAGAGAGGGGCAGAGCTGTCGACTGACCACTACCTGGTGGTGAGTTGGCTCCATTGGTGAGGGACGATGCCGGTCAGGCCTGGCAGACCCAAACATATAGTGAGGGTCTGCTGGGAACGTCTGTCAGAGTCTCCCATCAGACAGAGTTTCAACTCACACCTCTGGGAGAACTTTGAACACGTTCTGGGGGAGGTGGGAGACATCGAGTCCAAGTGGGCCATGTTCCATACCTCCATTGTCGAGGTGGCTTACCCGAGCTGTGGCCRTAAGGTTTTCGGTGCCTGTCGTGGCAACAATCCCGGAACACGCTGGTGGACACTGGTGGTGAGGGATGCTGTCAGGCTGAAGAAGGAGTCCTATTGGGTCTTTTTGGCCTGTGGGACTCTGGAAGCAGTCGATAGGTATCGGCTGTCCAAGCGGATTGTGGCTCGGGTGGTCGCTGAGGCAAAAACTCAGGCGTGGGAGGACTTCGGTGAGGCCATGGAAAAAGACTTCCATACGGTTTTGAGGTGATTCTGGTCCACAATCCGGCTTCTCGGGGTGGGGGGGAGTGGTTCGCCACCAACACTATTTATGGTGGGGATGGTACGTTGCTGACCTCAACTTGGGACGTTGTGGGTCGGTCGGCGGAATACTTCGAAGACCTCCTCAATCCTACTGACACGTCTTTCCATAAGGAAGCASAGCCTGAGAACCCTGGGTCGGACTCTCCAATCTCTGGTGCCGAGGTCACCGAGGTGGTTAAAAAGCTCCTCTGTGGCTGGGCGCCGGGGATGGACGAGATTCACCCGGAGTTCCTTAAGGCTATGGATGTTGTGGGGTTGCGTTGGTTGATGCAACTCTACAATATCGCGTGGACATCAGGGGGCAGTTCCCCTGGATTGGCTGACCGGGGTGGTGGTCCCCCTATTTAAAAAGGGGGACCACAGAGTGTGTTCCAACTATAGGGGGATCACACTTCTGGGCTTCCCTGGTAAAGTCTATACAGGAGTCCTGGAGTTGAGGGTCCGTCGGATAGTCGAATCTCAGATTCAGGAAGAGCCCTGGGCCGGTGTGTGCCCTGGTGTCTGGCTCTGGGCTGGGGGCCTCTGGTGCGCTGGTGGTCTGCGGTTCTCATGGGCTGGGGGGTAGGGTAGGCTGGGGGCGTGACATGGAG